TCTGGTTAAAGTTGGACAAGTTATTACAGAGAAAATAGGAGTAATGCCAATTTCCTTACCACTCTTGGCAGACAGCATAGAGTTGCACTTTGCATCAGATCATTTTCTTTGGCTTTTATTGTGGATGGAGAAGTTGTGTCCAACTTTACACGTAAGACCATTGCAGCAAGTGGAAATCGCTACTCTTCAAATAATTGAGAAAGTTGGGATAGATTTCATGACTTGAACCTTGAGGACAATTCTTAATTGGGATGGGGTATTGTTATGAACCAAGTCTAGCCCAATGTAGATACTCATGTCATACAAGTTGTTATTGAGCTGACAAGAGCTATTAGGCCGCGAACGACCAATTCGTCCAGGTTAATTTGGGATTCAGAGAGAAGTGGGCATAAAATGGTTCCATCAAAAAAGGTAGTGCTATGTTATTTAAGGATTATACGAATTGTTGAGAAAAATATCTAGTTCTCTCATCCCCTTTCTTTGAGTCTATGCTTCTTATCTCCCTTCTAGTTATCTTCTACAATAGTTTTCTTGTTAGTTCCATTTTCCGTTGTAACTGCGAGTTTTAGTGTTTATAATATTTAAATGTTTCTTTTGTAAAATTGGAGTTGTTACATATTCCCTTTTTTTATATAACAAGGAAAACTCACAGTCGCTACCCTCTGGATAAAAGTCCCGCTCCTATGCAATAGCTCGCAAACCAACACTGGAGATGTAACATTCACAAAACAAGTCTGGTGCAACGAACTCAACCCTATTTGAATTTCCAAACAGGTATATGGAAGAACAACCTTTCAATGGGGTTGAGTTTGGAAAGCATACCGATCAACCTAAAGAGTGGTGGAATGCTTTGATCGCACATCAGAAGCAAATGTCGACTTGGATTAGGTAAATATGGCTACCACTTGGTGTGTGGTCCACTTTTACACTAAAATGGTGGGATTAGCTATCTTATATAGAAGGTGGGATACGAAAAGACCCTAAGAGAAGGTATGAACAAAGGAAATCAAACCAATCCCATTTTAAATGCACAAAAAAAAAAAGCATCTGAAGAGGTGTTTGAGTTGACAAAAAGGTGAGGCAGAGAGGGAATCTGAAGAAACAATGGAATTGCAAAAGCCTTGCTTAAAGATGAGAATAGGTCAAAGTTTTTAAAGAGGAAGGCAAGGAAAATGGTACCTGTTGAGCAATGCCAAGTCCAGTTCCTTCTTTCCAGCCATGCTTCTTTAACAACTGCAACGACGAGTCATGAGGCAGGTAAATATCCAACAAAAACAAAAAACGCAACTGATATTCTGTTTGAAAGAAGCGAACCTTAAAACCAAGGTTGGAGGAATCAATAGGAATGGAAGTTGAACAACTCATTCCTTCATCCGATCCCATAACTCACTCCAACAAAAATCAACAATCACCAAATTTCTTTCTCTCGAATTCAGATAGGGCTGCTAATGGGTTGGTGCCGCCGATGAAGATTTTGTCAAACCCACAAAATCAACTCTCCTTTTGCTACCAAGATTATTAACGCAAGAATCAGTATTCGAGGTGAAGGATTTTATTTTTTGACAAGGGTTTGATACCTTTTTTATATATAAATCCTTTTTCTTTTGGGTTGTATATATATTTGAAACTAACATGATTTATCCAATTTTATTTATTCGTATCAACTTAATTCTTTAAAGATTTTATGTTATTTTATTGTAATATTTATTTTATATTGATATATAAGTTTTATTTGTATTATAGTTAATTTAAATTTTATATAAAATATAGTTATTTCATATGTAATTATGCATATTTAGATATTGAATTATTTAGTGTTCAAAATTCATAGACTATGTTTTAATGTTCAGATGTACATTTAGATTTGAACATTTGGATCTTAATATACATTTTAATATTTGGACGTGCAAACAACTAAATTGCAATGAGATAAATAAGGTCATAATGTGTCGAGTTAGCAAAATGTATCGCAATGAGTATTTAAAATGTACAAAATTTACTTTAAGATATCTAAATAAAAAGTTATGCTTCAATTTTATTACCCTTCATGTTTCAATTTTTATGATTCACTTTTCTTTTTTGTCAATTTAAAAAAGAATAGCAAATTTGTTATATTTAGTTATAATTCGACTATAAAATGTTCATTTTATCATTAATTAATATATGTAATCGCGCGTTGCACGGACATAAAAAGTTTTCATTGTTTTAATTTTATAATATTTACATGTTTGTTCTTTATTTTATGTTATTTTAATAAAATAAATATAGTTTTCTTGTTAATAATTTATAAATTCAAACTTTTTACATAAAATATTTAATATCATAAGATTAACATGTTGGTATATTTTGTATATGTTCTACTAATTTAGCAAGTTCAAAATATTTTGTATATTCCTAAATTTGTGTAAAATTATGATAGAAAAATGATTTGAAGTAGAGTAAAGATAAAATAATTTAATAATAATACAAAATATACAAAAATGCAATATTTAAAATTGTTATATAAATATAGTCATTGAAATAAATTAATTAATTACAAATAGTGAAATATTATTTTTTACGTTATTAGTTTAGAGTTTTAATTTTCACATAAGAAAATAATAATTTATATATTTTTAAATGAATAGATGTCAAGGTACTCGGGAATTTTTCTGGTATTCTAAATATTAATTAATGCATAAATTTTGTGTTCGAATTCTAAATCAGCGAGGCGCTGTTGGATGCTTCTGATTAATAGAACACGAAGAAGAGGAAACCGAAAGTCAGTAATAAAGAATCCGCTCTCCGATAAGCGAAGGAAAGCAGGTCAAAGCCTGCCAAGGCGTCAAGGCAGTTCGACAAAGGCAGAAAGAGTCTCCGTTCGGACTCATGTGCCTTCCAGAACCAAGCGTATTCGAGCCTGTTGCGTACGATTAGCCAGCCTTGCGGCGGCAAAAGGATTAGACGTCCCCCCAAGCTATGGTTCCCTGTTACTATTATATAGTTTAACACTTTTTTAATACTTATTATTTTAATACTACATGTAGTCTTTACTTATTATTTTCATTCCATAGTTATTTTAGTTTAATAATAGAAAAAATAATGCTTACCATAATTTCTATTTTTATTAACGAAGAAATCTGGAGCAAATTCAATAATTTTTTTAATTCTTATTGAGAAAATAATGATTAGAATTATTTATGATCATTGTTAAAGTTTCTACATAATTGAAATAAAAATTAAATTTGTATACAAATAAAAATATTTTTAAACAAACAAAATAATTATGTGCACTATTAAAGAGTACCTTCCAGTGTTATAATTACTCTACAATTATGAAACAACTAAAATCCTGAGTAAATTGCTAGTTGTTTCACAATTTTGTTAAATGGCCTAATATTTTACACCTTTTCTTTAATAATTCCTAATAATTTTAAATGGTAATTTCTAAGTAATCAAATGGAATGTTATGTATTTCACTTTTGACAAAATAATTTTCTGTTATTTGATACCTTGTAATATAAGAAATCTTCTTTGCACAATATATCAAGATATTAACTACTTTCCAAGAGTTTTGTAGAAATATAATTTCACAAAATAGGTAGTTTCACAACATATGCTTAATTAATTTGTGAATTTTTTTATTCCATTTTGAACAGTTTATTTTTCAGTTTCAAGTAAAATTATCCTTGATATAAAAATTCAAATTATTAATAAATAATTTGTAAGTGTTAATTTTTTATCGCTATTACATTGAAGGCATTGATTATGACCACTCATGTAATTAAAATTTAATTTAATATTCTAAAACCTGAAATTATACGTAAAATCAAAGTTAGTAATCGATAAAAAAAATAAGAAATATTTATTTTTAAGCTTAAGTCATCGATGATTCCTTAAATTTGTCTGAATAATTCATTTAGACACCCCAATCAACACCAGTACCTAGTACCTATTAAACACCTAAAATATAAAAAAAATTATCTATTAAACACAAAATGTGAATGTGACGATAAATATAGATCTCACGTGTATTAAGAGCGTGAATAGATCCAAATAATATATTTTTTTATTAGAAAATTGGACCTTTCTACTTTTATCGACACTTGACAATAATAATTAATTTTTTTTCATTTAAAATATTTTTAATCATCAAAAGAAAGCAAAAAGTTTTCTTCTCATCTTTTTTTTGGTCAAACTTCTGCACTCCTTTCCTCCATGTTCTAATCTTCTTCTTCCATTTTCATTCTCAAACTTTTGTATTTTTTTTCATTCTTTATATTAAGAAAATTGAATCCATGGATTAACTTTGTAAGAAGAAAGAGATTTTTGATATTGGAGTTTAAAAAAATTTGCTGACGTCCGTTTGTTTTTTATTTCTGATCATTTTACGCAAACATCATCAATCAAATTAAAATACAAATTCATTAAATTTATTAAAGTAATATTAGAGAATTCTATAGAAATGACTCGAGTACTATCGATTTCTCTTTGTCGTCATCATTCACTAACGCTAATTTATTTTTCACAAACATCACTCTGCTAAGCTACACATCATAATATTTCACTATTTATATTATGCTTAATCCCATAGTTATAATTAGAAGAAAAAAAGAATCTTGCTGGAGGAGTTGAGAACGTGGGTGACAGTGGTGAGCCGAAGAAAGAAGAAAGATCAAAAGGTTAATGGTTGAAATTGTTTTTTATTTCTTAAAATCAAAAATTTATTTTTTATGATTAAACTAGACCCACATGTCATATGTCATAGTTTTATTTATGACTTTTTCAAGATACACACGCACATTATTTTTAAAAGTAATTTTCATTTTGTATTTTATATATATATATATTAATATTAAAGTGTATAATAGATACTAATCTCGATTATGATATCTAAGTGAATAATACAAAAACTTAAAGTGACTGTAGATGACTTAAGTCTTATTTTTATATAATAACTAAAAAGGATATCTACCCCTTTTTAGAAATGACAGATTAGAGGACGAACACAACATAAGCAAATTGTACAGAAGATTTTTTGAGTTGTACAACAAACTTAGTTTTTCCTATTTTTTCTGCTAACACGTGTATTGTCTTCTAGCAAACCACGTACCACTTTACAGTGCAAGCAGACTATCTTACAAATTCCTATGATCCTTCTCTTTTCAACATTGGCTTTGTTCTTCACTCTTCTCATAGTTTCTCTACCATTTGTTTTGGTAATATGCCTCCTCTTTCTCCATTTTACTTTTTCCATGAAAAATAATTTTTCTATTTGGAATTTCAAATTTCACCTCTGCTTCCTTGATTGTTCGTTCTCGTAATTGTGTGCTCTTTGTGCTGATATATCTCTTCCCTAATTTTTTGTTGTTTTAGTGCACTTTCTTTAATTGTAATCATTATAACAACTTTTAAGTTGTCTTCAATTAAATTTTATACCTACATATTAACATTTTTTTTTCTAATTTACTCATGCATGTCTAGATTCTATCTCAAAGTCTCTTTTATAAATTTACTTTTTCGTTTGTGCTGTTAAAATCTATGTAACTAGATGTGCCTCTGCTTTTTTTTTTTAAATTCTAACAAGTATTCTGTAGTTGCAACAACTAATTCAATTTAAGTGACGCACTTAAGGTGTTTGATAGTATGCCTAAACTAACTTTAAATTTTTTTTTACAGATTTTCTACTATGTATTCCTTTGTACGTGAATGATCCAAAAGGTACGTGCTTTGTTTCTACTAGATGTCTGTTGTTTATATATATATTTTTCCCAAGAAATGGTTTGTCCTTTGTTTGCATCTATTTCAATTGCAAGTTGTTGCTATTAGTTAAACTTTGTGTTAGCGAGAAAATTTAGATATAATATACAGTTTTTTCAGCATTTCATTAAACTGTAAATATTATTTTTACCAAGATAAAATATTTCTCAAAATAAGAATGTCAACATATAAGGGCAATACATAGATTTTGAAAGACCAAGGACATCGGCTAGATGATAGAGTTATGGACTACTTTTACCTTTTTTTGGTTAAAGGTAAAGCATGAAGAAGTTGTACATGCATATGTAATGTTCGGTGAAAGTTTTGAATAAGTTTTTCCTTGTTTTTTGGACAAAAAATTTTTGCTTCATTAGTCAATAAATCAATAAGTATGTTATTATCGGACAACTTCTTATCATTTATATTTAGAAATATGTTTCAAATGTATAATATACTTCTCTTTATATAGTGAGGTTCTTTCTTTCTTTAATTTTTTCCACTAAAATTTTATTTGGATGCTTAAATTTGATAATAATCGTCATCCTCTTAAACGAAAACTTCTTAGAGGACTAAATGAAGGATGGATTGAAGTATTCCATCAAATCTATTTGGTCTCTCTTAATTTTGATGGTTGAATAGGCGTATAATGTGATTTCAAGATTTTTCTTTCTCAAATTCGTAGCAGGATTCATGTATGTTGTCTTGAAATGGATGTTGTGAGCCGTATATCAGTATACAAAGGTGTTTTTCCGAGTTAACCCTAAAATCTGAGTAAATATTGTTTGGAAATGGTTAGCCCTTAACTCTAAAATGTTAACTCTATTTGTCTTTTCTAGACATATGGTTGCTTACATTCGTTTGGTTCCTTTATACTTCAATGACAATTAAGTTAGCACCTAGAGTCTAATGGCACTACACACAAAGTATCAACATAGACATTTGCACTTCCTTTTGCTACTGTATTTCTTTTATCATTAGTGTTGAACTACAACTCTTCATTTGATAAGATATTTATTTGGTTATACAAGGCTCAAGCTCAAACTTAGTAAAAAATGTGTAGTACATGTTTCATGTCGAACATGGTCTTTTTTATGGTCTTATCAATAAGTGAATGAATACCTCAATTTGGGATTATAGAAAGTCAAAATGTACAGTTGATTTCTTTTCCTAATCAACCGAAATAAGTATTTGAAGGGAAAATATTGCAATCTGTTATTGAAACAAGGCCTATTGTGCAGACACTTTTAGTTTCAGGACAACTTCCTCAATGACGAAATCAGGCCTCAGCTTAGTATTTGACATGTTTCCATTAAAGATGTCAATCTGAATCTTATTTGAGCTATGTAGAAGATTCAACATCACTGCATATTTCTCAACAAAAATTGTCTACATCTATGTTAAATTTTGATTATTTTGAGTTTGGGTACTGTTTGGAAAAATAGAGTTTGATCTCTGCAGCTGCAGATTTGAATAAGTTTGTCCTAGGAAAGAGGCAAAAGTTATACTAAAAGAAGTTGAAGGCAAAAGCTTCTAATTTTTGTACAAAGCAGACTGCTCGGAGGGAATAACTATATTGATTCTTTTAGTAATATAAATATGGAGGAATAAATTTCATTTGGATTTTTAAATTATGGTTTGTTTCACATTAAACATGTTAGCACACAATAAAGTTTTCATATTAGACGTTTCTAGCTCATATTTCGAAAAGTAAAAGGCTGAAGAACAATGTTTCTCTTTTCTGTTTATTTAAATATATCATTCAGTTATAAATATAATTCAGAATTCTGATTGTGATTGAGCTTCCTTTTATCCTTCGATTTTTCCTTGCTTTCAAGATTCACACTCTGTATGTAGTACGCAACTCATAAAATATATTTAGTGAATGATTTCCTCAGAGAAAATATGGTTTGTTGATGTACTTTCAAAGATGTCTGCTCATAAAATGCTCCCTTTCTTTGTTTGTGAAGAGAAAACATTTTCCTCTTCTTAAGAATGTCTAGCTTGCACCTACAATGATATCAATGTAAGCGACATAATATGAGACGTGCAAATGAGCATATGTTAGTCCCTGCATATTACTATATACTATTAAACTAGTAACAATAGTAGGATAAATATTGTGTTTTTAGCAACAATTAGGGTTGTTCTTTGAAGGAGTACTCTTTTTCCCTTTCTTTTCTACTTTGTGTGGAAGACGATTTTATTTAAGTGTTAGACTAAACCATAGCCCATATATAGAAAGAGTAGTTACACTATTATGGGTAGTGATAACATTAAGATTTCTAAGGTTGCAAAAGTATCTTATATAGATGGTACTAATTTAGGAGAAACTAATTCATCATTATTAGCTTGTAGTTTTGATAGTGCATCTTCTGGAGAAGTTGTTTTGACATGATAGTAATTTAATATTTTAAATGATCATATTTCATTTCAAGATTACGTTTAAAATTTAATTTTCTCATTCATTTCATGTTTATCCACTAGCTTAGATTTTAATTGCTTACTTTTAACTAACCTTAAATGCTTAACATTGCAGGAACGAAACATGGGAATTTTCCTTCATTTCTTAGCTTTGATCATCAAGGGTGGTCACTTATACATCTCTAAATCTCTACCTGAGAATTTAACAAAGATATCTTACCTGCCAAGATTTTGATACAATGAGAGCTTTCATGAAGGAAGTGTGATCAAATTTGAGGCCTGCTTTGTGACCAAATTGTCAGTACTGAGCATCACATCATTTATAGTCATTCTCTGGGTTATTTTACACACTTGATTGGACTTTTATGTTTATCTTCTAGATCTTTACATCATTTTCTTTTCCTTTTTTCATTTAATTCCTTTTTGTTGGGTTTAGGTTCAGGAAGCTGAGTGCCTTGCTGATGAACTCATCAATGCTGCCAAGGGTTCTTCAAATAGCTATGCTATTAAGAAGAAGGACGAGATTGAAAGGGTTGCCAAGGCTAATCGTTAAGAGATTGATGTTGGAACAACTTTCTTGAGAGACTTTTTGGTTATGTTATTTTCTCATTTCTGTTTTCATGTAGGCATTATAGCATCTACTACTCCTTATGGATTTAGTTTCTTAGAGGATTTATGTTTGGTATTGTTATAAATGTTAAATTTTGAAGTTTCTTTTTTCGGGTTCTCAGTAGAATTTTGTTAAACACATGGTATGGTTTGATTTTCTTTAGATGTTTTAAGTATGAAGATACTTCAACTCTATTTGTTAGCCCATGATGCAAATAGTCCTGTTTGACCCAGAAAAAAAGGTCTAACTGCTGAGAATATTTCTGAGACAACAAGGTCGATGTCAAGTTGTACCAACGCTTTTCTTTTCTTTACAAGAAACTATTTGTGTCTGTAACATTTTAAGATTGTAGAAGCCTTTGAACCTCCAAACACAATTCATGTTTAATGCTATAAGGTTTTTGTGAGAACCAAACTAATCTGACTTAGATGAACTTTCACTTATAGTCACTCAAAAATAGTTTAATTACTTTTTGTAGCTACAGTTTAATAATTGAAATTTGTAGTTACATGTTATAGAGAGGAGTGAGGCGAGCGAGAGAGGACAAAGAATGGAAGCGAGGTGAATTGTATATGTATATAGGTTAGATAATGGTTTATTCCACATATGTATTTGTATATATGGCAAGAGAGATTGAGAGATGAAGGAGAGAAGTGAGCGAGATTGGGAGCGGGAGGAGAGAGGCGAGCGACAAAGAGCAGAGAGATGAATAGGTTAGATAATTGTATATTATATATATGCACTTATATATATGGCAAGCGAGATTGGGAGAGAAAGGAGAGAGGTGGACGAGAGAGGGCAAAGAGTGGGAGAGATGTGAATTATATATGTATTTTGGTTAGATAATTGTATATTATGCATATGTATTTGTATATTTTAGTGAATTATACATATACAAATGTCGCTAATTATACAAAGTCGAAGTCAACCCACATAATTACTGTATAATATTAGTCATGAATGGTAATTATAGCAAACTATAACTATAATGCATAATTAAGTTGTATAAGTTTGCTTAATTGCGTATTTTTCCCTGTTAATAAGAATGCAAACCAGTACTTTATAAACATATTTATTTTTTCAGATTACTTCCAAGAAAATTAAAAAGCAATAAAAATCAAATTATATACTAAAATCACTTGTCATTTTTTGTTATTTCTTATTTTAAAAAGTTAGATTAAATCTTTTATTTTCTTAATTATAGGTTTTAGAATACTATTTAGAAAAGGCAAAATGGTCTTGTGGACCTTTATACTTGTATCAGTTTGTATTTTGAACCCCTCTACTTATTCTATTTGTCATCTGGACCCTTAGATTCAATAAAACACAATATATCGGACCCTTCTGACCATTGACCACGCTTATGTAGCTTTAAGATGGTTGAGTTGACGCAAGTGTGTGATTTCACCTAAGGCGAGTGAATGACATTTTCGGATTAAAAAAATTAAAATTATAAAATAAATAAATTTAAAAAAAATAATTAATTAAAAATTCCTTCTTCTTCACCAAATATCTCATCCATTTCACCATTTTTCATTCAAAATCTATGAAAAAGTCATCACCACCGTCGTCGCCATTTTCGCCGATGAAATCGATAAACTCTCTCCCTCACCTATCTACATCTCCACCGCACACCATCACCAATTTCCTTTCCTCCTCCAACCTCCACAAAATCAACAACTTAAGTCATCCCACCAACAGATCTGATCGAAAAACCTCTTCACCACCATCACTTCGCACCCTCACTAGCTCGTTCTTCTCTACATTGACCGGTGCCGCCTCTCTCCCTTACTCCACTGTGAAATAGTGGTCTCCGGCGATTGCGATTTAGTGCTGAGATGAATACCATCAATGCCGCTTTCTCTCAACAGTAAATCAATGAACTCAAGTCATACCCAAGATTTGGTAAATTGATGTTAATAGATTCCGAAGAAGGAAAAAGGTTGTGTTTGGTACGAAAATGATTATGAAGAAGGGGAAAAAAATTGGGTTTGGCATGAAATTTCTCCATGGATTTTGGCAGTGAATTGGGAAATTAGATATACGGAGGTTTCATCTTTTTCCATTATAGCTCACCAAGATCTTCATCACTTTTTCTATTATTAAACAAACATATCAATAGATCAAACAAAACACATAAAAACATATGAAAGTTCAAAACATGAAATTGGAGTAATGAAGTTGAATAGAAAATGGTGAAATAATACTCTAAAAATAAATTAAGATTTTATTATTTTTACTTTTTTTATTAAATACTTTTGATTAATAATTTTTAAAAATAGTTATGAAATAATTATGACAAGGCATTAATAAATCTGACGTAGATATGACATGTCATTTATGTGAGGAGAGTGAGCTACACATATGGTCAGAGGGTTTAAAAATCTCATTTTGATTAGTTCAGGGGTCCAGATGACAAAAGGCTAAGTAGGAATATCGAGAATACAAACTAATACAAGTACGAGGGTCCACCAGACCATTTCGCCTTTAGAAAATGTCAACTTTATCAATATGATCTTTAAAATACTTTATTATGTACTTTTTAATTGATCCGTGGTACTTTTTAATTGTTTGAATTATAACTCCTTACTTCTATTTATAAGTGAACAAGGATGGGGACGAACACAGCATAAGAATATTACACCAAAAGCAAGTTAAATTGTATTACTTTATTTTTTCATAAAACATATGTACTTCTACGTGTACTTGTTATTTTCTACATAGAAAACATGTAATGTATGCACTCATCTTGACATAATAAATACTTACGAAAAATTTTATTATGTGTGAGGTACAACTAGTTTTAATTGTATGAACACTTATTTTATTATATTTTCATTTGTGGGCCCATGTTCTATTGTCTTCTTTCACTTTTATTTCTCTTTGTTACTTCTTTTTTCTCTCTCTTTCATTGTTTTTTCTAGATTTTTTTCAAATCGTGTATTTCGAAATCAATTTAATTGCTACATTAGTTTATTTAGATGAAAATAATATTTTCTTTGTCTACTGTTCTTTGTCATGATTTCTATAGTTAGAGTCAAACTATAAGAAGTTAAAAATTTTGAGTAGTATTTTTTAAATGTATTTTTTCATCATATTGATATGCAAAAAATTTACAATTTATAGTGTTTTTCATATAATTTTTGAATATCTAATTTTTTTTAAAACATCAAATTAATTTAATCTAATTTGACTATTGAAAATTAATCATATTGACTTTTGAAAAACACAACATGATAAATAAAAGTGAACAAAGAGAAATTTAATTTTCTTTACTTAATTTGTTTTAACAGCAAATGTTTTTGAAACTATAATTTTTATTATTCTATAATTAAAGGCTATGGGAATAAAAATATTCAACTTAATTCTTCGGATGGCCACTAATCCTATTAAAATTGATTATTAAAATTATTTTTGTTTCTTTTCCTCCCGTTTTTTAATTATTATATTTTAAATTTTGTCTTTCTATTTCATTAATTTTTAACTTCTATTTTTAGAATTCATTTAAACAGAACTTTTATCTATTTACAAAATAATTTTCACTTTATTCGAAAATTGATTATTGACCATGAAAATTTAAAACACAATATTTTCTTTTTGAAGTTATATTATCAATATAATTCTATTTTCAATTATATATAGAGAGAAAGATGAATTCTATAGTCAAATACCTAATAATAATAATAATAATAATAATAATAATAATAATAACCATGCACATAACCTTTCATTCTATTAGAAATTCAATTTACTAAACTAGTTTTATTTAATTATATTTTATAATTTTGTTATTAATATATTATGTAACTATTTAATGACAAAAATAATAATTTTAAAATAAAAATAAATAAGTAAAAAAATAAATTATTTTCACTATACCAATAGATAGAGTAATTAAATTTATTTCAAATTAGATTTCGAAAAATCAAAAAATAACAAAAAGAGGAAAGAGAAAAATAAGAAAGATAAGTAAAAGTAAAAAAAAAGACAATAAAACATGGATCCCACGAATAAAGATATAACAAAATAAAGACTTAAGTCATCAATAGCCCCTTAAAGTTGTCTACGTAATTCATTTAGACACCTCAACTGAAACTCTTACCTATTCGACACTTTAATATTAATAAATATTTATCTATTGAACATAAAATAACAATTACCTTTACAAATATTGTGCGTGTAATGCACACTCATTATCTTGAGAAAATTACGAATAGAACTACGACACGTGGCATATGGGCCCATAATTTTAATTTTGAAAAATAAAGAATATTTTCTTTGCCTTTAATAATATATAAAAAATTGAATTGATAAAACAAAAAATCTTTCCCCCCACCCTCACCCCATCTAACTTATTGCCCTTTTTTCTTCATCTTCTTCTCTGTTGTTCCACAATCACCATTCCTCTGCATAACAAAAAAGAAAATGCCTAACCCCATCTCATTTCGAATTCATCCACCAAATGTTTTCCTCTTTCATTTTCTTTGTTATATGCTATTCCTCCGACGACTATTCCGATTTTATAAATATAATCAACCTTGATAAATTATTTTGAAATCGACAACAAAGAAAAATTAAAATTATATCAAATATTTTATAGCATTTCTAATAAGTTTATGAATGGTGATAGTTGCTGAATTGGAGTTATTGAAAATAAAAATGTACAGATATTAGTCAATTTTTTAACTCCAAATGGTCCATTTTTTCTTCTTCTTGAAAATTCAACAGATACTTACTTTGTTTACAGAAAATGGAAAAAAAAATGAATCATAACAAAAGGTAGAGAAATTTGAAGTTTTTAAAATGGTGGGTTAAAGGAAGATGAGTGTGGTTTTTTTGTTTTTTTTTTATTTAAAAGATTTATGTTTAATTAAATTATTTTTTTATATATTTAGTCAATGCATGCCAAGTGTCAATAAAGTAGGTATAAATATTTTTTAAAAAAATAAAAAAATGCATTGACGCGCTCAGCAGCAATGAGATACACTTATTTTGCCACATCAGCGTTTTGTATTTAACAGGCACATTTCTTGATAATCCAGATGTTCAATAGGTATAAGTCTTAGTTTAGGTGTTTAAGTGAATTCTGTGGACAACTTTAAGGGGCCACAGATTTAAGCCTAAAATAAACCCTCATA